CCCCCCCCCCCCCCCGCCTCAACTACCCTGACTCCGTGGCCTCCTTTCCAGCCTCACTCACTCGTAGTACTCGGGGGCAGTCAGGGCACCGGGTGCACCAGCTACTTTCACTGGGCCGCAGACCAGGTGCCTCTGTCAGGAAGAGAGCAGGCGCTTAGCCCAGCTGGCGGTACGTCCAGCGATGAATCCCTGGAAGGACCTAAACCTGGTGCCTGGACTCCTCCAGCCTTTTGCCACCAGGCTTTGTGCCTCCCTCTCAAGCCCACCCCTCAGTGCACAGTCCCCAACTTTCCCAAGCTATCATTCTTTGGTGTTCCTTGGGCTGTGCCTCCAGACCCCACCCTCTCCCAGGACGCTACCCCTGCTGCAAGCTCCCATTCACCAAGCCTAACCTCTTTCTCAAGGTCAAGTGTCACCTATGGACTCATCAGCTAACATGGGTTTTCAGGGGCCCTCAGGTTGGTGGGGGCGAGGGGGCGCTCCGCCATCACCAGCCTACCTGTGTGAGCGGAGCCTGCGCATCCAGCTTCCACCAGAGCAAGTCCAACTTTTGTTGCTGGAACTCCTCCTCACAGCTCACCACGTGTACAACCATGCAGCCGCCTGCATCAGCATCTGGGGCCGCTGCCTAAAGGGTAGGAGGACGGTCGCTAGGCGGACACAGGACACGGCTTGCCAGAGGCCTACGGGGTGGGGGGGCCTGTCACTAACCAGGCCTGGAGGGCCGTCCCCAGGCCCGTGGCGGACAGCCTCCTGCAGCTCGGCCAGCACGCACAGCAGATCCTCAGTCACTGCGGAGAACACAGGGGTGTTGAGGCCAGCCAGGAGCGCAGGGTCCCCACCTTCTCTCCGGCCCTGCAGGGCTCCAGCTCCTACCCAGACACTTGTCCAGGTTGGGGTCATAGCCGGCTGCGCGTCCCCGTTCTTGCATCACCTCCTTCAGGCACACCGTGCCCAGGACGCCAGGGGGCAGGGCTCCCCCGTCCCGGGCAGGGCTAAGCTCTGCAAGCGCGAGGCTCCTCAGGGCTTCGGTGGCGGCTCTCTCGGAGGCAGCGGGCCAGTCCACGCGCAGTTGCTGCAGGAAGGTCGGCATGTGCGGGTCCCGTACGGCGGGCACCAGCCGCATACTCGCCCTGGGAAGCGAGGGCGGCCGTCTCAGCCCGAGCACCCGCCGCAGCTTCCCCTCCTTCCCACCCGCAGCGGCTCTAGGCCCAGCTCGCCAGCCCGGCCTTTCTGGCCCCGCGGCGCGCTCACCCATGAGCGCGCAGAGCTCGCGCCAAATGATCGGCCACGAGCACGGCGCGCAGCTGGCTCAAGCGGAGCGCGCCAGGAGCGCCGCGCAGCGCCGGGCAGTGCAGGAGGACGCGCGGGCCGGGCGCGGCGGGCGCGGCGGGCGCGGCATACGCGGCCACGGCGCCGAGCACGCGCTCGAAAACGGCGGGCCGCTGCAGCTGGAGTGCCAGACCCGCGGGCGTCGGCGCGCAGCGCAGCACCGGGGCCACGCCGGGGCCTTGCAGGCCGGCGACCGCACGGACCACACGCTCGGGCACCTGCGGGAGGAAGGGCGGTCAGCGGGCTGCGGCGCTGCCCCTGGCCGCACATCCCCGCCCGGCTCGCGCCCACCTGTTCGTCCCCGAAGCGCGCCTGCAGCGCGGGCCGCGGCGCCAGGAAGTCTCGGGCGCGCAGGTGGCGGGCGCGCGTCTCTTTGAACCACACGGGGTCGCCAGGCCCCAGGGCCGTGTTGAGGGCCCCTAGCGTCTCCCTGACCCCCAGGCGCCCCGTCGCCATGGCGACCGGAAGGAGGCAGCGGAACCGGAAGCAAAGCGTCAGGAGGTCGAGCTTCCGGGAGGGCCGACTGGCCGGGGCGTGTATCCGGTGGCGTCCCTGAGCCGACAGGTGCGCCGGAGGGAACCGTGGCGGCCGCTCTCGACCTTCGGTCCCAGCACTCCCTCCGCGTGGCCCGCCTGCCCTGCTCGGCCCCGGCATCGCGAGGTCCGCCTTCGGCCTAGAGTTCCGTCGTCGTCACCGGCATTAGCAACCAGGGAAAGGATCCTCGCTACCGGGTGGGGCCCAGACCCGACTGTTTCTCTCATCGAAATCTTACCTATTTGTGATAACGTTTCATTCCCCCCATTTGACACTTGATCAAACGTCAAAAGTTCCAAATGAATTGTCAGCGGAATAGGGCAGCTAACCATTTTCAGGACCTCCTAAAAAAAAAAAAAATCTCATTTTTGAAAGAATCTGTGTTCTGCGGCTTCAGGTTATTTACAGCCCTTTCCTCCCTTGCTATTTGGGTCGTCTTTACTCCCGATAAATGCGTACTCTGGTAGAATTTCTTCTCTTGATTTTTGAGAAATTAGAACCATCACGATACTTTCCAGAATTACCAGTTTTTAATGCTTTTAACCTTGTGTACATTATCAGGGATACTCTGGCCTTCTGGTTTAGGCAACGAGCCATTGTAGGCAAAATAATGTGACCATGAGAAGACCCAGCTAAAGGACTGCTCTCAGTTGGGAGCATCCCACTTCACTACAGAGAGCTCTTTCCTCTGTCCCACGAGGACTCCGGAATGTTTTCATTTCAGTGTAAGTTAAATCCCCTTTTTCTCTATTTTCCTTAATGGAGATTGAACCCGACACAGCACAGAGTGCAGGAAACCCATAATTACTGCTCTGGAGCAGTGAGAGTGCCCAGAGTTCAGAAAGGAGGGGATCCTTGGGGCAGAAAGTTTGGCAAGACCCTTTTTTGGGCCAGGGCTGCAAGGCCCTGCTGGGATCGCCGAAAGAGCACTGGGCGGACACGACATTCCCGATGGCTTCTTGGGTGCCCACTCAACGGGAGTGATCGTGTCATTCCAAAGCACTTTCCATTCCGCAGTCGCATGACCCAGGGGCAGAGCTGCTAACAGGCTGGAGGCTGGAGGCCAAGCCGGGGACTTCAGCTACTCTCGGTACACGAAGACGGTTGGGGTGGGTTTTCCCCAGGAAGTGAAAGGCTATCTATAGCGAGCTGCGGGCTGGTGGGGCCCCGCCCTGTGGGACTCACCGCCATTGCAGTCCTGTCCAAAGGCCCTAGGACCAACCTCCCTTGTCAGTGCTACTCCAGGTTCAAGAGATAACCACAACCCTGGCTCTCCGACCACCATCTCCAGCCTGAGGGCGCACCTGAGGCAGGGGCGGAGACTAGAGCGACCCAAATAAAGTATGTCTGGGGTCAGGGGTTGGCCCACCCCATCTAGGCCAGGACGCTGCTCTGGCAGGAGAGCAGGGAACGAAATCCAAGCGCAGCTGGAATGCTCTGGAGACAACAGCTGCTTTTGGGATTCCGTTGCCCGCTGTCCAGCCGTGGGCGGGGGAGGGGGGGGACTAACCCCGGGAGGGTGGTGGTCCCTTGCCCTGGGGCCAGATCAGGACCCCCATTCCCAGTACCAGAAGACGGACCTAGAAGTGGGCGGTAAAGCCGAGTGTAGTGGGAACGAGGCGCTCACCTGGGCCCCAAAACAATAGGAAGATTGGTAGGGGCCTCCCTTAGGACCGGTCCCGATCCGGATTAGATCCGCAGGGTAGGATTACTCCTGTTGGTACCATGAAACCAGGCCACCGGTGCGGTGACGGTGGCGGGGCGGGCTTCGGGATCGGCTAAAAGAGGAGCTCGCCCGTCGGGCCGGAGAGGAAGTAAACCCGCGCACCCGCCTCGGGGACACCCCCGCACCCGGGGCCCTTTGTCCCGTGACTCTGCCCGCGCCCGGAGCGCTGGGGGGGGGGGGGCGGGGAGGGCCCAATGGCGGCGACGGGACCCCCGGGAATCCGTTGCGAACGTCCCCCGCTGTGCCGAACCTCCCTCCCGCCCGGCCCCGTGGGTAGCAGACGCGTCAACGTTCCCTTGAGGCCACGACACCGTGGGGGCGCGGAGATGCCCGAAACCCGCGCGGGCGCCGGCGACTCTCGCGCCAGTAGGCCCTCTGATTCGGCTCAAGACGGGGGGCCGGGGAATTCTCGGGCCGCGAGCAGAGTGAGCGACGACAGGGCGATGCTCCAGCCGCTGTCTAGTTCAATATCCGGTCCCGTTCGGCCCGGTCGATCCCACCCGAACAGCTACAATCGCCCTACCACGGCGTCCCCTTCCGCTTGCTCGGGCCGCAGACTCGGAGCCATTTTAAGGAGAAACCAATCAGCCACGCCCCCTCGCGCTCCCGAGAAGCCAATCCACGCGCAGCCACGCCCCGGGAGACGCGCGGCGGCGACGCCAACGGTCGCGCGGGTGACGGTTGAGGGAGGGGCGTGATTCGCGGGAGAGCAAGGGAAACCTGAGCCGGCAGCCCCGCCCTGGGAACCCGACGCCCCAAAGCCTGGGATTAGGGGCTTGGAGGCTGGCCCCACGCCCTGGCCAGGTGTGCGGGACTCGACCAGGTGCGCGGCCGCCCTGCCCCAGGCCCCGGGAGCCCTACGTAATGGCTGAGAGCCGGGGACCCGGCTGCGGCGGGGGCCCAGGCAGCGCTCTGAGGCCGGCCATGCCACCAGATGTCTGGCTCCCCCAGGACGGTCTGCGGGGGCCCGGGGCGGGGCGGGTGGCAGGTGCAGACACCGGAGCCGCGCTGGGGGACGGGTCCTCCTGGGACAATTGGCATCGGCCAGCTCCCTCAAAATCCCGCGCTGGGGCGGCCGACCTGCGCCGTGCCCTCCGGGACGCAGGGGGCGCTGTCGGCGCGCTGCGGTGGGCTCCGCCACGACCCCGCTGACCCAGCGCCGGCCTCCCTGCTCACCGGTCCGACATGGTCGCCACGTTCGTGCTTCGCGGCCTGTGCCGAGCGCGGGCAGTGCTCCGCTGTTCCCCTGCCGAGCTGCTGAGGTGAGCCCGGGCCCAGCGTCCCTGATTCTCCCGCCCTGCTCCTCCTGACCCCCTAGACCCTGAGCACACCCCTCCGCAGGGCCCCACGGCGAGGGCATCGGCTCACTCCGGCGGACGACGAGCTGTATCAGCGGACGCGCATCTCCCTGCTGCAGCGCGACTCCCCGCAGTCCATGTATATCGACAGCTACAGCAGCCGCGGCTTCACGGTCAACGGAAATCGCGTGCTTGGGCCCTGCGCGCTGCTCCCGCACTCCGTGGTGCAGTGGAACGTGAGCACTGAGGCAGCGGAGGGCCAGAGTCCCAGGCCTGCCCCCTGATTCTGTCCCTGGCCAACTTGGGCTTTTCCGTTGCCCGTTAGTGGTGCAGGTAAGGGCGCTGTGGGGAAAACCGCGAACTTGTTTAACCTGCCTCCTCCCAACACAGGTAGGAACTCACCGGGACATCACCGAAGAAAGCTTCTCCCTCTTCTGGTTGCTGGAGCCCCAGATAGGTACTGGAGAAGGGGAGGGCTGCGGTGCTTCCAGGCCTAGAAAGCCAAAAGCCACCCCGCCCCAGCCTCCCCACAGACCTGCCTGCTGCAGGCTAGCCCTGGCCATCTTTCCCTAGAGATTGTTGTGGTGGGCACCGGAGACCGGACTGAACGGCTGCAGCCCCAGGTGCTGCAAGCCCTGCGGCAGCGGGGCATCGCCGTGGAAGTGCAGGACACGGTAAGCCCTGCGCTTCGGGAGTGCGGAGCAGGGCCCAGGCCTAGCCCTCGCCACGCTGATGCAGGCTTTCTCTTTGCAGCCCAATGCCTGTGCCACTTTCAACTTCCTGTGTCATGAAGGCCGAGTAACAGGAGCTGCTCTTATCCCTCCACCCGGAGGGACTGTGCTCACAAGCTGCAGAACGAACCACCAGGAACTGACCTAACCTGTCCAGGAAGACCCTGGCACTTTTTGCAGAGTGCAGGGGTTTCCAGCGCTTTCATTAGCCCTTCCCCTTTGGCACTGTAATACTTGTCTTTCTTGCCAGCAAATTAATAATTTAATCCACCTTTCCCATTTTGTACTAGTTATGTTGCTAGCAAGGAAGAGCTGCTGGCTCAGTGGGCTCTTGTGTGTGTGTGTGGGGGGGGGAGAAGTTGTGTGAAACTAGAGGATCCCCTTTTTATTTAGACTACATAGCTTCTCAGAGGCTGGAGGCGGTATAGGCACCTGTCCCAAAATGCAAATCTTTGTACTTGCTCATATGCAGATTTGAGGGGACTGTCTGCTTTCTCAAGGTCCCTTGGAGATTCAAGTTAGAGAATATGTATGTGGCTCTCAACCTGGTCCCATGTGGCCAAGCAGGAGGCCCTGTGGGTGCCAGTCCAAAGCCCCTGAGGACTATTCCATGACCTGTCCTAAGCAGCCACAATGTGAGACTGAACCCTTGTGAGCCAGAGCTGGCCTGACCTACCTTGTGAGCTGCCTCAGGAGGGACTTTTTTTTTTTTTTTTTTTAAAGATTTTTTTTTTTTGAGAGACAGTGAGAGAGAGAGAGAGCACATGAGAGGGGGGAGGGTCAGAGGGAGAAGCAGACTCTCTGTCGAGCAGGGAGCCCAATGCAGGACTCGATCCCAGGACTCCAGGATCATGACCTGAGCCGAAGGCAGTCAATCGACCAACTGAGCCACCCAGGCGCCCAGGAGGGACCTTTTTGAATTTAGAATTAGTACCTCCTTCTGGATCCAAGGAATATCCAGACCTCAGGGTCTGAGGCTTTCCCTACAAATGAGTGTTGTGCTTGTGTGCGTCCGTGATAGTGGTCGCCACACCTGCCTGTTAACCTCAAAGATCAAGCATCACTTTTTTTTTCTCCAAACTTTTATTGAAAAACTGAGGGGGTATGTGGTAACCCTTTTCAGAAAAGCCTCTTCTCATACCTGTAGGCAGAACAACCAGCTTTGAGGTGGGGGCAGCAGAAAGGAGGAACCTCTGCCCCAAGGGTAGATGGGTACAAAAGGGTTGGTCACTTACGAATGGAGGCTGTGCACACCCCCTTCCACCTGAGCGGAGGATGTTCTCTTCTCAAACTTGAGTTCTCCAGAATACATCATGGCTCTGAAGAGGGGCAAATGTCGGATGTGGGTACCTGGCCCTCAACTAGCTCCTCCACCCATGTCCCAGCTCCCTTGGCTTACCGGACTTGGGTCAAACTCTTGGCACCAATGTCCTGGCAGGAATGCTGGATGCCAGCGATCAGGTAGGGGACAAATTTGTGGATGGACCCTTTGTCCTGCACAGCCCCAGACACCCCTTGGGCCACCTTGATTTTATCAGCTTCACTGTAGAGAAAGGCAAGACAACATAGGCAAGGTTAAGCATGGATGAGGCTATCAGTACAAGGCTGTCAGTACAGGGTAATTGACCTTCCTGTCCCACCTGAAATATCGGTTCTGGCTGCTGAGATGCTTGTCCATGGCATCAAGAGAACCCATACCACGGTATTTCTTTAGCCGGATCCCATCGGAGAAGAAGTACTCGCCAGGGGCCTCAGTGGTAGCAGCCAGGAGGGAACCCATCATGACTGTGGACAAATGGGAGTGACGGGAGCAGACCCTGAGTGGCACTGGGGAAGGAATCCCACCAGACTCCCTGGGTGTTAGGCCTCACCTGTGGAGGCCCCAAGGGCCAAGGCTTTGGCGATATGGCCCACATTTTGGATTCCTCCATCAGCAATAACAGGAACACCAAAGCGCCGTGCATATTCTGACACCTTGTACACTGCTGTTGCTTGTGGCCGCCCACAGGCCAACACTATTAAGAAATGGAGGAACAGATGGGTGGGTGGAATCCGTGGGGACAGGCGAGGGGCCCTGCAGCCATAACTCAGCACCCAGGAGCTCTCCGCTACACCTGCACCAGGACTGCAGCACGGCGGAGAAAGAGTCATGTCTGGAAGGGCTGCTGCCCTGTCTGCCTTCAACAGTTCAAACAGCAGTGATGGCCTCCACTCAACCCTGCATGTGCACGTGCATGTGTGCTCGGCCCAGGGCAGCCTCAGGCACATGCAGTCAGCAGCCGGGGGGGGGGGGGAGCCCCACCCACCTGGTATCAAGTGGGGGTAGGTGTCACCGTGCAGTTAGTACCCAGAGGCCCACCCCTTCCCCCCAGCATGGTTCGCAGCTTGGGCAAGATCAGGGGAGTGGTCATGTGGAAGGAAGAGTGCGCTTGTTTGGTCCTTGAGCTGTGCCTACTGTAGGAAATGTGACGGAGGTCCTGCACTACAAGCACCCCAGGAAGAGGAAGGAGCTGTGTTCTCCAGCAGCCCCTAAAACCATGGTCTGTCATTCAGTGTGCCCTGCCCACCCATCAACACCACAAACCCCGGGAGCTACAGCTACAGTCAACCAAGCAGCCGGGCAGTGGGCAGCCGGGCCGGGCCAGTGGGCCGGGCTGGACTTACTATAGCAGCCCTTGACAGTAGAAGGGCATTTGGGGCTGTGGGACTTTATGTCTGGAGGGATCTTGGGAGCCACTAAATAAAACAAACAGACCAGAGTTTAGAGAGGGTGCAGAGCAGGAGCAAGGAGGCCAGGCTAGGCAGGGGGGTAGTGGCAGGTGAGGAATGACGAGCTCGTCTTCCAGCATGTCACCCATCCAAGGGGCCTCTTTGGCCCTGGGACTGCCCCTACTGGAGGACTCGGTATAGTTCCCACAAGAGCATTTGGCTCCAGGCCATATGGGGCTAAGGGCCCTGCTGAAGCCAGAGTCTCTGAGGGCCCCACTGAAGCATTTCCTACCTTCCTGGGTGATGCAGATGGAGCCACTGCCCATGCCCACCCGCAGGGCATCTACACCAGCATCAATGAGGTTCTTGGCCTGAGCAGCTGTGACCACTGCAGTGAAGAACAGGGAAAGGCTTGGGTGACGATCCGAGTGGGAACCTAGCTCCTCTACCTCTTGCCCCACGTCCTTTGGTGCCCAGTCTTGCCTCACCATTGCCTCCAATAACTTGGAGGGAGGGGTATTTCTCCTTGATGTACTTGATCATATTAATCTGGAAGATGGAGTTTCCTTGGGAAGAGTCCTGGGACCAGGAGAAAGTCCCAGTGAGACTGGTATGACAGCTGTCCCTACCACTCCACCCTGCCTGTGCAAGAGCTCACCAGAACCACTACGTCCACTCCAGCCTGGGCTAGCAAATCCAGCCGATACTTGTCATCTTCATGAGTGCCAATGGCTGCTCCACACAGCAGCTGCTTCTTGGCATCTTTGGAGGCCAGTGGGTAATCCCGGTTCTTCTTCAGGTCTGTCCGGGCAATGATGGCTACCAGCTCACCATCTTCATTTACAATGGGTAACTTTCCTGAGGGTAGGGAAGGTACATAAATCAGAACCCTGGTCTTTGGTTCCAGAACCCTTCCACCTCTAGAACTCACCCTTCTTGCTGCGCTGCAGAATTTCATTTGCTTCCTTCAGTGTGATGCCTGCAGGGGCTACCACCAAGTCTTCCCTCTTCGTCATGATCTAGCAGTGAGGGGAGCTGTGAGAAGGGCCCAGAGACCAGACCTCCAACACACCCTGACCTAACTCGGGGGTGAGGTTCCACAGACCACCCTGATCACACACCTGGCACCCAAACCACCGTCCTCAAGTGAACCCAACAGCCAATGCAGCAATACAGTGGCACAGGTGAGAATCGAGTAGAAAGAACAATGTGGTACACAGAACATGCTGTTACATAGCGGAGAAAGAAGGGCCCCGCCAGAGCAACGACAAGGGAGTTGGAAGAGGAGGCTGCGGTTGGTCCCTGAGCACTGCCCCCACCTTGGGAGTGGCAACACAGCACGCATGCTGGCAAACACTTGGGCAGAATGAGAGCATCTGGTGGGGAAGAGATGCAGGAACCCCATGAAGGGGTCAGAGACTTGGCTGGGCATTCATCTTTCCTGGACAGCAGAAGCCCCCAGAGATGCCATTCAGGCAACAGAAACCCCATCTTAAGCCTTGGCCGCCAGAGCTTGGCTTTGCTTTGTCAGTAGCACCCACCTCTTCCAAAAATCGGTCGTGTTCCTCCTCCTTGAGAAAATCTATGTCCCTTGAAGAAATGATGCCCACCAAGCGGCTCCCCATCCGGCCTGTATCGGTGATTGGGATACCACAGAATCCATGCCGGGCTTTGGCTTCAAACACATCCCGCACTCGATCCTTGGGGCTGAGGACCACAGGGTCCGTAATGAATCCCTGCTCATATTTCTGGAAGGGATGGTGAGAAATAACATTTCTGAACCATCTTTACCAGTCTGAAACCTGGGGTCTGTGCCAACTCCCTCTCTGGCAGTAGCATAGGACCAAATCACAATTCAAACCCAGGGATAGTAAACATGGGTGGGCTGTAGGTACTATCCACCTGGTCGTCTTCTCTTGCCTTAGGACACAGGGTCTCATGCTCTTCTCGGGAGCTGAACCCCAAAGTGGGGAAAAAAGGATCCTAAATTAGGAGAACAAATCCCCCACTTCCACCCCACTCCACCTCAGTGCAATTCCCAGGAGCTCTTGACCACGATCCTTGCCCTTCTGACCTTCACTTTCCGAACTTCGTTGGCTTGGAACTCAGGTGTACAGTTGTGGTGGATGAAGCCAATACCACCTGTAAGCTGCATGATAAACAGAAGATCGTGAAAAAGTGACAAAGAGCAGCACGACTATGTGTGTCTTTGGGAAAGAGTGTGAGTGAGGCCCCTCCTTTTGTCCTTATACCCCATGATGCTCACCGCCATTGCTATGGCCATGCCAGCCTCTGTGACTGTGTCCATGGGTGAGGAAACCAGTGGGGTCTTCAGAGTGATCTTTTTGGTCAGAGCAGAAGTCAGGTCCTGAGGAAATATGGCCCGATAATGTGGCAAGTACCTCTAAAAGCCTCAGGGTGGTGCCAGGTCCCCCATAAAACAGGTGTCCTGTATGACCTGCATGCCAATCAGACTTCCATAGAATCCACCCCCAAGCCCAATCTGCTGTGGTAGCTGAGACCAGGGAAGAGAAGTACCTTACCCAACCTTGATGCTCAGGACCCAATTTCTGGCCATACTCACCACCTGGTCTGCAGTGAAGTCGATGTACCCAGGGAGAATGAGAAAGTCACTATGGGGGAGGGGAGCGAATTGGGAGTAAGGCTCAGGCTTAGGGCGGCCCGAGATTCCATCCCCACAGATCATGTCATAAGGCATTTGGGCCTTAGAGGGCACTGACCTAGCCCGTGTCACAGGCAGGGCAGACAAATCACAAGGTGGAGATGGAGACGGGATCTTTTCTGCCACCTAGCTGTCATCAGCGACCCTGGCACCCTGACAACTCATGTGCCGAGAGAATGGAGCTTCTAGCCTGAAATCTCAAGCACCGCCAAGATGCCTCCTCCATCCCGCCCCACTTCAGATCTATCAAACGGAGCCCCAAAGATGGGTGGGGAATTCTCCGGAACCTGTCTCCCATGCCTCGGTCCAAGCGGGCTCAGTGGAAAACCCCGCCCGGCCTCCCAGTCCAGCGCGCCGCCCCTCTCCTCCCCCAGGTAAGCCCGCTAGGCCCGCACTTGTAGGTGAGGCCGTCCCCGCAGTTGAACAGCTGCTGTGCTGTGAGCCCGTCGTCTGGCACGTAGGACGTGCCCCCGCTAATCAGGTAGTCGGCCATGGCCACCGCTAGGCAAAGCCGCGTGTGCCCGAAGACCGCGCCGCAGAGGCCTCAGCCTTCTGGGCCGCGCCAATATAAACCCGCCGATATCGTCATTGCGCCCTGCGCGTCACTGACGTCAGGACGCAGCACGAACAGGCGGAGCCCGTACGCCTCCCGGGCGGGGCCATCGAGGGGCGCATGCGCAGAGCACGCCCTAGGTGTGCAGCCACAAAGTTGGGCGTTCCCGAGGCTGCCCCCTCCCACAGGACCGTGACCCGTTCAACCAGCAGGCAAGGCTTTGCTTCCGATGGCCCCTAGGCTCCTCCCAAATAAAGAGGCGATGTTCACTAGCATGTTGAAAAGACGTGCTTGTCATTCTTAATAAACAACTAGATTAAGAATACATAAGAGAAACAGAGTGGTATCTTTATATGATACACAAGTGTATGTTACAAGAATTCCATCAGGCACAGGAGCCTCAGGTTTAAGGCCTCAATGTTAGGCCAAAAAAAAAAAAAAAAAAAAAAGGCATGGTAAAGTTTTTACTTTAACATCTAAAATGTCACTTGTCATAAAGGAGGGTGTAATAGAAATTGTCTTTAATAAATCATAATTGAAGTTCCCCTCATTTTCCTTCCATTAAGATGCTAAGTTTATGTCTGAGCATGAAGAAAGAAAAGACCATGGCTCCCCTGTGGTCAGCGACGTCTGCCAGTCAGAGTGGAAGCCAGCTGGGGAGATTCCCTGGAGGGTCCGTCACTAATTCCATCTTTCTGGAGTAAGGGAAGGGGCCACATTTCTCCTAACAGTCCGAGCCCTTTCCCCAGGCCCCAGGCAAAAAAGAAAAAGCCAGCGAGCAACTTTCTAGGACATCTGGCTTTCAGGAAACCCAGAGCCCCCATGGGCTGAAGAATCTGCTGCAGCAGATTTACAGTGACGCACAGGAGGCAAAGTTTCCTTTTACACTTTAAACAGAAGCAGTCTGAAAGGCTTCATAACTACACCAATTTAAAAAAAAAAAAAAAAAAAAAAAAAAAATGGAGGCCTCTTCTTTAGTGTGAAAGTCTGTCCATTTTTTTTTTTCCTGGATCATCTCCCTTGCACCATGGCTTAGGGATCTCAATGCATGGTGCTTGCGTTGGCCACAGCAATGGCCTCCTGAATTTCTCGTATCACCAGGATCCGAGTCAGCATCTGTCCCATTTGCTCTCTGCTGATAGGCTGGACCGAGTACCAGATTGGGCTATTGGGGGCCACAACTGGCTCAGGCGTCAGATAAAACGTGTCATTCCGGCCTTTCACACTCTGGGGGCTGAAAAATATATCAGTAAAAGCTGGGTAAAACCACAACATTCTCAACCCTCCCACCCTGGAATATTCCAGACAGATGCTGTATGCAAAAGGTGGGAAGACAGCAGCTCTTCAAAGGTATGATGGCATAGCTACTGAATTCCATGCAGTCAACACACATTACCTCTAGGGCCTCCTTTGGGGCTACTGCCAATGCCAAGAATAGGCTGCCTCCTTTCCGCTTCTCCCTCACATACTGCCAGCTGTGATTCCTCTAACCACCTGCCTCGGGATGCCAGAGTTCATCTACTGGAGTCCAACCGTATCCCACTTGGAACCAATTGCACCGCCTACAAGGTCCTCTCCAAGTCTTTGCTCATGTTGTTTCCTCTACCCAATCCACTGAATTCCTAAATGTTACATAAGGGACTCTGCCTTCCCAGCTTGGCTGTGATGCTGGGACCCTTACCTGGGCTCATCCTCCACCCCCCTCAATGTTGTGCTGTACTTAGCACATGCCACCTTCTAACAGTTATATTCGCCCATCCACTCAATATTTATCAAAGGGCTACTGTGTGCCAGACCTGCACTAGGGGCTGGTGTTCAAGAAATGAGCAGGATCCGAGACTCCCTACCTTATGGAGCTTACAGATAAGAGACAGTCAACAATTAAACAATTACATAAATGATAATCAGTGGTAAGTGCTACAGAGGAAACAGCCCAAAAGAACAGGGAGGGAATCTGGAAATGCTTCTGATAAAGCTGTTTTGAGAAGAGGGATGGATAGGAGCCAACTAGCCAAATACGGGGGTGGGGAGGGGAGGCTTGCCCAACAGGGAAAATTTCTAAGCTGAGGCCTGGAGGTAGGGAGATCATGATGCTCTGGAGTGGAGAGGAGCCAGTGGCTAGAGAGCCAAGAGGTACAAGGACGTGAGATTAGCAAGGGGGAGTATACATAAGGCCTTGCTGGCAAGATTAGGATTACTCTTTCTCTATACAATAAATGGAAACCACTGAAGGGTTTTAATCTAAGGAATGTAAGACCTATAACATAGAAAGAGGATTCTGGCATTGCAGTAAAGATGACATGCCAAACTGCAAGGGCAAGAGAGTAAAAGCCAAGGAAAGATATCCCCCCTAGATTGATGTTGCTAGTGACAAAGGTCAAGGCCAGGAAGATGCTACATGATGGAGGCCGCCTTTCTATACTTTCCTCCATCTCCCCATTCCCCTCTCCAAGACAGGAGACCATATAAAATCACAATGCTAGTAATTTCATATGCTTTGGGGAAACCAGTCAGGCTGCTTCTATATTTAGCTTTTTGGAAATGTGTTTTTACTCTGTTTGGGACTAAAGAATGCCTTATACACAGGTAACAGTGCACTCATGCACACATACAGTCACCCAGCCACCATAAAGCTTCCTCACCATTTAAAGAGGTAGAAATCGTAGAGCTTGATGGGACATCTCAGTGGATTCTCTGGATTTTCCGTCTGTTCTGCATACATGTCATCTGTAACTATAAAACACACCCCCACCACCAGGGACATGGCATGAGACTGCCTTAGCTCAGGACCAGATTAGGAACCTCAGGCTTGGGGGCACCTGGGTGGCTCAGTCGTTAAGCGTCTGCCTTCAGCTCATGACCCCAGGGTCCTAAGATAGAGCCCCACATTGGGCTCCCTGCTCAGCGGGGAGTCTGCTTCTCCCTCTCCCACTGCCCCTGCTTGTGTTCCCTCTCTCGCTGTGTCTCTGTCAAATAAATAAATAAAATCTTAAAAAAAAAAAAAAAAAAAAGAACCTTAGGCTTCTAGTCATCCCAACTAGACTTATCAGGAGAGGAAAGGGTGTGAGGCATGAAGGGAAAAAGCAGCAATTGTTTCTGGGGCATCTCTGCTTCGAGAAGAGTTTCAAGTTTCTAGGTGAGGAGAAGGGAATGGAGAATTCCTATCCAGCAAATCCCAACCTTCACACTCAACACTAACCCCCAGGCACAAGGGCAGGGCGGGACAAGTTGCACCTGTTTCTGCAGCCCCTACCTTTCTGGCCAGTCTGGTGTATCCCAAGAGCCTTCAGGTATCGAATACTCGTGCTTTTATCCTTAGGATTAGAGGGGTTCTTCTTTGTCTGTCGCAAAACCTTGGAGAAGGCCAGCTTCATGTGCTGGTCCACTGTCTTCAACAGGAAGTATCTGCACCACAAGTGAAAGCAAGGCAAAGGGAGGGGTGCCAGGAGGAGACTATGACTTACCCTCTGCCATCAGTGCCTCAGAGGAGCCGCTGTGCACACTCTGGGCAGGCCCATACCCAAAAACACTGTCTAGTGGAGGAACCACATCAAGACTGATGGCAGGGTTCTGGCAAGGCTGTATGCCTCACTGGTCACCACACAAATTTAGCCAAGTGGGGCTGAAGGCTTTTAATAGCCCAAAGGCTCTCAAATATGTGTCAAAGGAATTCCTCTATCTACCTGGATAGTTTCCACCCTCTTCACTGGGCAGATGCCAGCAGTGGCTAAGCATGGAGCTTCTAGAACACTTACTTGGTGTTAAAGAACATGAGGGTGGTCAGCAGGGTGGAAGGGGAGTGAGCCCCGAGCTGCTTGCACTCCCACAGCATCTCCTCAGTCACGTGGCTGGGCAGGACATAGCCTAGGAGGAATAGAGCACTGCTACAACAAGAGGGTGGCAGGTGAGCCCTCAAGAGGTGCAGGATGGGAGGTGGGAGGCACAAGGACCACAAAAGAGTGTAAGTTTAACCAGAAAAATCTCCCTAGGGAATGGCAGAATCATCTGGAAGCTTGTTAAAACACAAATGGCTGGGTCCCAGCCCAAGTTTCCGGGGTGGGAACTGATAATGTGCATTTCTAACAAGTTCCTGAGAACCACTGCCCTATAAGCTTGCTCTTACCTGATGTTAATTCTTCCTCTAATCCAAGGTTAAAGTGGGGCAAGAAAATACTGGAACACCCAAAACTATAAATCAAACTCTGCAAATATGCATACTTCTCTAAAAGAGGGTACAGAGCTTTCATCATATTTTCAGGTGTCAACGGCCCAAAGAACTGGTATGGGTGCACCTGTTTGCCCTTGCTAAACCTCTCACGTTTTCCACTTCTAGAAAACAAACCCATTCTCATCCCCTCTCTGGATAAAGGGGAGAATGATATTCAGAATTATTACAGGATTCCCCGACAAGGCAGGTTTTACTTTAAGACCCTGGTTCGTAAATGAACTGAGAGCTGGGCAGGGGCAAAGGCCAGGGTGCAGCCAGGTCTACACTAAAGGAAGAGGATCCTTGAGTTGATCACCAAGCCCCCTTCATGTGTCACTCAACAGTTAATGTACAAGTGTCTGTGTGCCAGGTACTGAGGCCATGGTGAAAGCATTCTCCTGCAGGAGTTTCAGGATCCTCCAGGCAGGCAGCAAGGATGTCACTTCCTAGAAGCGGGGAAAGAAATATTCGCCCAACACATTCCTCTTCTCTGCTCCTGCCAAAGCTGGCCCTCTGACTCCATTAAGTGCACTCCCATCTCTCCAGGGCAGCTCTGCCTCTACTCTTCTATTTTGTGGCCTACTGGCAATGAGATAAGCTTCCCTGCCCTCAAACATATCTGAAGCAGATGAGTGGCACAGACAGCCCTCCTTGGGGAAAGCCAGTGGTAGAAGTGGTATGACACGTATCTTGGCATGCGCTATTTTCTAGGGTTTACTTCACTCTGCCATTATATGAGCTTCCCTAGCTTTAACCACTTCTTAATAAAACTTAAAGTGAAGTTTAGGGTCAAAAACCAGGACTCTTGGCATGGGAGAAGGGAGACGCAGATGGGGACATCATATAAAAACTTTATAGTTCTCAATCTGGACTGCAAGCCACAAAATGACCTATTTTATCTTTTTTTAGTATTTCCCACTGAAAGGCTTACAAACAATGACCAACCCAGGAGAAATGAACACCCCTGTGCATCCAGACTATGATACTTAAAATACCATTTACACTTAAAAGGAACCAGTCTCATGGAGAACTGACCAATTCCACACTGAGACAGAAAATAGAATATATCCAAGATCAGCCTGGAACATCTGGCAAATCAGAACTCAAGGAAACAGGGCCATGTCAAAAGAACTTAAAAACCAATTTAAGAGGTTCCAAATGGCCAAAGATGGAACAATCTGCACAGCAAAAAAGATAACTGCTATGGACTGAACCAAATTAAATATGTTTAAACTCATTAGTTCACAATGATTCCTTAAAAAAAAGTGAATCGGTTATCACTGGATGAAATTGGTGAATCAACTCATTACCATAAAAACTGCTAAACAAAGAGAATAAGCCCTTATCCCGCCTCTCCTAGAAAATCTCCTAAAAATCCTATAAAATTATCTATGCTGCTAGGTATTCAAAGAGTGATCAAAGGAAAGTTTTGCTTTGTACTTCAGCTAATAATGAAGAATAACATCAGAATGCCATCAATTGCAACTCTTAATAATGGATCCAGATATTATGGGTATGAGATGGAAGTATATAACACAACTATGACATAACCTTGCCATAAAGAAAACACAAAAATCAAAACCTGATCAATGAAGTCTTTATATCGAACTACCAATTAACTGTAAATATAAGGGAACAGAAGACTATGTTAAACTACAATTTGGGGATGTAATCAGACTGACGATTTAAAAGGCTAGTTTCAGAGTGTCTGGGTGGCTCAGCCAGTTGAGCATCTGACTCTTGGTTTTGGCTCAAGTCATGACCTCAGGGTCGTGGGCTCAAGCTCCATGCTGGGCTCCACGCTGGGCTCCACGCTGGGCATGGAGCCTGCTTGAGATTCTCTCTCTCCCCCTCAGTCCCTCCCTCCCCAAGCACTCCCACACACTCTTTCTCAATCAATCAATGGCTAGTTTCTTCCATAAAAAATTGCAAGAAATAGAATCAAGGAGAAAATTAAAGATTAAAGCTAAATATTGAAACAAATCAGTAATTTCAATGTGTGGACCTTATCTACACCTTGACTCAAACAAGATCATGACATTTATGAGACACTTAGAAATTTGAACAAAGGGTAGAGTAGACTTTGATTACATTATGAAATTATCTTTTTTTCAAGTATAATGATGGCATCATGGTATGTCAAGCATACTAAAATATTTATGAAGTGTCTAGGAGTTATTTCAAAATAATACAGGAGGGGAAAAACAGGTATACACATGACACAAGATATGCCATGGACAGTAGGTACATGGGAATGTCATTTATCTGTTGTTTAATTTTTATATGTGCTTGAAATTTCCATAATACAATTTTTAAAAAGCAAACTCTCCATAACCACACTTGACCTGAAAATCTGCAAATCATGTAGTGATTCACTTACTTGGTTTCTGTTCTAATGACAGCCCCTCAGAAAGGCTTCCCTCCTAATGTCCTTAACACTTCCCATTCCCCTATGCTTTGTTCTTTAAGACACTTAATCATAAACTGGTTATTTACACACTGCCTCCCCCTATTAGACTATAAGCTCCATTCTGTTCACTACAATATTATATTATCTACACCTGGAATAATGCCTGGCACATAGCAAGCATTCAAAAAGTATTTGTTTAACCAATAATTTTTTTCTTAAAGGTTAAGCATGTAACTCTGTGGTGATGGATGTTAACTAAACTAGATCATTATACAAGATATACACATATCATTATATTGTATACTTAAAACTAGTATGTTATATGTCAATTATATCTCAATTTTTAAAAAAAGTTTTTATTTTAATTCCAGTTAGATTTTTTTGACGGGAAAAAACAGTTTAAGCTGCTAGCATACATTCTAATAAATGGTAAACCCAGCATTAAAACTCAGATATTTGTGTGGATTTAAGCTTTCAACTCATTTGGGTAAATTCCAAGGAGCACAACTGCTCGATCATAAAGTAAGAAAATGTCTATTTTTGGGGGTGCCTGGGTGGCTCAGTCGGTTAAGCGGCTGCCTTCGGTTCAGGTCATGATCCCAGGGTCCTGGGATCGAGCCCCATGTCCAGCTCCCTGCTCAGCGGAGAGCCTGCTTCTCCCTCTGCCTGCCGCTCTACTTGTGCTCTCCCTCTCTCTCTCTGTCAAATAAATAAATAAAATCTTTAAAAAAAAAAAAAAAGAAAGAAAATGTCTACTTTTTAAAGAAAACGTCCAACTATTATAAAGGGATTATAATATTTTGCATTCCCACCAGCAAAGAATGAACATTCTTGTGCTCCCTATCCAGCATTTGGGGCTGCCACTGTTTGTGATTTTAGCCATTCTAATAGGTGTATAGTGGTATCTCATTTTAGTTTGCAATTTCTGTTCATATACTTATCTGCCACTTGTATATCTTTGGTGAGGAATCTGTTCAGATCTTTTGCCCATTTTTTGGATCAGGTTTTTTTTTTTAATTTTATTTTTATTGTTGAGTGTTGAGTTCTTTGTGTATTCTGGATACCAATCCTTTATCAGGTATGTGTTTTGCACAAGATTTTTCTCCAGTTTGTGGCTTGTCTTTTCATTCTCTTAAAAGTGTCTTTCCGAATGGGTCATAACTTTCTAATTTTAATGAAGTCCAACTTACAAATTATTTGCTTTCATGGATTGTGCTTTTGGTGTTATATCCAAAAAGTGACTACCAAACCCAAGGTCACCTAGATTTTCTCCTATGTTATCTTCTAGGAGTTTTATAGTTTTGTGGTTTACATTTAGGTCTATGACCCATTTTGAGTTGATTCTGTGAATGGCGTAAGGTCTGCGTCTAGATTCATTTTTTTGTATGTGGGTGTCCCGCTGTTCCAGCACCATTTGTTGAAAAGACTATTCTTTCTCCATTGAACTGCCATTACTCCTTTGTCAAAGATAAGCTGGTTATATTTGTGTGACTCTACTTCTGGGCTCTCTATTCTATTCCAGTGATTTGTCTATTCTTTTACCAGAAACCTGCACACAATGTTTATAGTAGCTTTATTTATAATTGCCAAAACTTGGAAGCAAGGAAGATGTCCTTCAATAGGTGAACGGATAAAGAAATTGTGTGGTACATCCATACAATGGATTATTATTCAGCAATAAAAATAAATGAGCTTATCAAGCCACGAAAAGACACAGGAACATGAGATGTATATTGCTAAGTGAAAGAAACCAATCTGAGAGAGCTACATACTGAATTATTCCAACTATATGACATTCTGAAAAAGGCAAAACTTATGAACAGTGAAAAATCAGTGACTGCCAGGGATCTGGCAGGGAGGGAGATAAATAGGTAGAACACGGAGGATTTTAGTGCCCTGAAACTTAAATATGATATTGTAATTATAGATACATGTCATTATACATTTGTCCAAACCCACAGAACGTAGAACAGGAGGAGTGAACCCTAATGTAAGCTACAGACTTTAGTTACTAATATCAGAATTGGCTCATCAATTATAACAGGTACACCACACTAATACAAGATATTAAATAATAGAAGAAACCGTGTGTGAGGGAATATATGGGAATTCTCTGTATGTCTTGCTCATTTTTTTCTGTAAACCTAAAATTGCTCTAAAAAGATAAAAGTTTTTTAAAAACAAAACACAAACACCTCAGACATTCTACTGTAAAACTGTTCTTTCCAACACATGCTGTTCAGGTGTTTATATGGGTAAAGCAAAAATTATGTTCTATATATGTAGAATACATATATATATATATGTGTATGTTCAAACACATGGAAAAAAAACCCCAATATGTAACATGAGTAACCTACAGATGAAACAGCTCATAATTCTTAATGCAATGATTCTAATTTTAATCAATAAATCTTAATTAAAAAAAAATAACTACCCCAACTCTCTGCATGCCCCCATGTCCTTGCCACACTGGGACCAGCCGGGTTCTCTGTCTGGTGTGCAGTGCCCCTTCCATATCAGGCCAAGCAGCACAGAAGTTGATGCTGGTACCTAGGATTTATTGCCTCCTCACCCACACGCTGTATCATAGCCAGCCACACAAGCAGCTGACCTTTTTTAAACCCAGGTGGAAAAGACATCCAAGGACTAGGAAGACTCTTACCAAGTGGAGTGACTCGGGGCTGAACATCTTTCAGAACTTCATGTAGCCACTCCGTGAATCGAACATAATAAAGATCGGAGAAAATGTCATCAACCCTTCCATTTTCAAAAAGATACTAAAAGAAAAACAATAAAAGTTGTTGGTAAAAAAAAAAAAAAGTTGTTGGTAATCTCCTGAGTAAAACTTTCAGGGGAAATAAACATTGTGCTACCAGTATCATCAGCTCTCCCTATCCATCTCTGCCTCCTTAACAAACCAACACAACAGGTCAAAAATGTCCAGCATATGACACTTCCACAGTACACTTCAGATCATGTGAAATGACTCTCCTAACACTCTGGAGAGCTGGGTCAATGGGACAGATTTTGTGAATGCTATTTCACCCAGGCAAGGTACTATCTTGTGGTAGCAAAAAACATAATGCAGGCTCTGGGGCCAGCCTCTTATTAGTTATGGTGTAAGTTAAGTAACTCATGCAAGTATTTTAACTTTTGGGGCTCAGTTTTTTTTGTCAGTGGAAATGACTGTGCCTGCCTTCCAGGACCAGGAAGAGAGCACGGAATGAAACAGAGCATGCAAAGCAATTCACTCAGTGCCCTGGATGACTAGGAAGAGAGAAAAATAAACTGGGAGGCAGACTTCTCTTAGGGCCCAGGCAACAGGGTGAGTCCCAACCAGCAAGTGCTCTTCCATCATGCTGTGGGCTTTTCCATAAGAGCATTCACACACTAAGAAATCCACCCCTGCTCTCCTAAACTACCAGTCCTAAATCAAGTTTCCCTATTACGCTACACCTTAGATGTCCTGAAAGCCTACCTACAGTTGTATATTCTAGCTAGATTCTCAAATAATTATTTTGTGTTAATGCAGGGAACAATGAGAAAATGAGCTGAATGTTAGCACCAAACTTTGTTTTGGATAAATTACTTTTATGTAAACCATGTTTACTTTAATGAAAAGAAAAGAATTATTATATAAATGTTTTTTTTTTTAAATACTCTTAAGATACTGTAACAAATATTTTAACAAAGTTTCTCTAGATGATGGGATTATAACTGATGTCTATTTTATTTTTTTTAAGTGAACATGTTAGGTCTTCTGCAATTTTTAAAACTGTACATTAAAAAACTTATTATATAGGGCGCCTGGGTGGCTCAGTTGGTTAAGCGACTGCCTTCGGCTCAGGTCATGATCCTGGAGTCCCGGGATTGAGTCCCGCATCGGGCTCCCTGCTCAGCAGGGAGTCTGCTTCTCCCTCTGACCCTCCCCACTCTCATGTGCTCTCTCTCTCTCATTCTTTCTCTCAAATAATCTTAAAAAAAAAAAAAAAAACTTATTATATAGTTGATTTCACTCATGTGGAATGAAACGAAACAGGATCATAGGGAAAGAGAGGGAAAAATAAAATAAGATGAAGTCAGAGAGGGAGACAAACCATAAGAGACTCTTAACTATAGGAAACAAACTGAAGGTTGCTGGAGGGGAGGTGGGTGGGAGGATGGGGTAACTGGGTGGCAGGCATTAAGGAGGGCACATGATATAATGAGCACTGGGTGTTCTATGCAACTGATGAACCAATGAGTTCTACCCCTAAAACTAATACATTTTATGTTAACTAACTGAATTTAAATAAAATTTAAAAAAAATTAAAACTCATATAGTTGAAAGAGAACTTCCTTATAACCACTTGCTTATCATTTTACTAATCTAAGTAACCAGCAAATACCCAACGGGAACACAGCTCAAACATGTTCCTTTGAAGTTCTGTTTCCTACCTTTTGAATACACAGGAAAATATAGTAGAGCACATCTGGATCATAGGGTTCACCTTCTCCATTTCGAGCTTCCCGTGTCATTAGACAGAGCCCATAATTCAACTCAGCCACAGCAGAAGAAATGAGATCTTCCTGGAATCGCAACAGTTGGCGCCCTGCAACACAAGCCAAAAGTGACCCCCAAAGGTGAATGGGGGTCCTGGCAACAGTAATCTCTTAACTGGCTGCTCATATCCCCAGAGGAGGGCTCAGAGAAGATACTGATCTTCAGGGGGCTAGGATGGAAATGATCACATATATCTAAGATCAGAACTGGCTTACTAAGACAATAATCCTGTATGCCCTATTTACACTAAGGGTTTCCTTCCCACAATCTGCCCCACCTCACATATCTTCAAAATTATTATTAGGGCCAAGACACGAAAGCAAAAAACCTGCAAAATCCACTCTGTTAGGTGAGGAAGAATATGAACATAATGTTAAGGAAGAAGGGCCCTGAAGACAGTCACTGGTTCCTAACTCCTTCTAGAATTCACTCTGCCCAGATCTGCTAGGTTGACTTTAGAAATCCATGTGTACAAAAATGCCTGGTCTTGGGCAAACACCATATATCCTGCTCATTTGCAGGTCAGGTCTGCTTATTGCTTGTCCTGAATTCAGCATACTATTTCAGATGGTGATTTCTAACCCCCAGAGCCAAGGGACACCACTTTCCTGCCATTCTGTCCTCCCCGTTTCACTACATTTTAGACAGAGTCCACCCCCCTCTCTCTCACAAACACTTACTCCCAATGGGTGCCAGTCTGTTCTGAGCATCCTTCTCTAGCTCAGCATTCTTGGTCTGGGCCCAGTTTTTCCATACTTCAAGCCCTTCTTCTGGCTTCAGAGAATTTGGAAGCAGAAGTTCTGGGGAAGGCTGTGGCTGTGACTGTGGTTCAACTTCAGCAACCTGGACAGTCTGAGCCTGTAAGAGAGAAACCATCAAAATGTGTCAATATTGTTTTGCACCAGGCCTTTCCACAAAACTGCTAGAAAAATGTTACCTGTGTTTCTTTTAATAAAAAATAATCTTTCTTCTACTTGTTATCTTACTTTCAAAGACCGTTGGAGTTCTACTCCTTACCCCAGGGACAGTTAAGGCTACTGCAGTGCTTCTCAGCCCTGGCTGGACTTCTGAATCTCTGAATTAGAAATACCAATATCTGGGCTCTACCCCAGAATCTCTTTTTAAAGAGATTAGTCTTTCAAAAACCTTCCCACATAAAAAGGCGATTCTAAAGTTTAGTCACTGTTCAGAACTCCTGGCCCAACTGAGTAAAATAAAGAAAACACAAAAGACTAACAACAAAAAAAGAACTCCTGGCCCAAAGCACTGATTGTCATACAGTGCAAAAAAATCACTTAAGGATTTTATTAAAGTGCAGATTCTGATTCGAAAGGTCTCAGGTGGGACCTGAGACTCTGCATTTCTAACAAGTTCCCAAGTAAGGGAGCTGGTCTGCAGACCACACTTTGAATACCAAGTGTCCAGAGTAGTGACCATTCAACTTGGGTGCACTTTAAAAATATCTGGGCTGCTTTTAGAAAATATCCATGCCTGGGCCTTATCCCTACAGATTATATGATTTAACTGGTCTAAGATGGTGGCCTGCCATCAGTATTTTTAAAAGCTCCCAGGTGATTCTTATGTCCAGCCATGGTTGAAAATTATCGCTTAAGAAAAGTACAACAAACAAAAGTTGTGTTCTCCCTCCTGCCATTGAAAGATGAGAAGACCTGAAAATGTATATGGTTTCTCTAGCTATATATAAGGTTGATTTTTCCCCCCAAAATTCCTTCTCAATAATACTGCTCTATTTCCTAAGGGCATTTTCTGAAGACCAGAGGCACTGCTCTAGCTTCCTGCCTCCAAAGGAAGAGTCATCTTGTCCTCAATGGTCTAACAGCCAAGCTGTGCACACAAAGGCGCAGGAAATATCCATTAGCGTCAATCACAATCCCCATACTGGGTGGGAGAGACACCAACAAAGTATACCAGGCATAGGTTCTTGGGTCTCACACACCTGTCTATATTCTGAACAAATGCCTTTGAGCAATTCTCCATGCCAGGGCCTACCGAAAGGGCTAAGGAATGTCAATCATTCAAATTGAAGGCAAAATTATTTATGACACATGAATCTGCTTATCAATGAATAAAAGTAAAAACTCTCCTCTTCGTTTTCAAAAGATAATTAAACAAGGAAATAAAGCAGTATTGTGTGTGGCTCTTAAATGTTTTTCAACCTAGAAGCTCCACTCTAGACACAGTTCAACTACCAATCTCCTTGGTGAGTCTTACCCACTTTTCCAGTTTGGATTTCCATGTTTGTGGAATTGATTGCTAACTATGCACCTCCAAGCTAGACCTGGACTTAATATACCCAGGGGGTACTATATGTCTCCAAATGAACATCTTACACCACCTCAGACTACCATCTATGGAGACAACTATCACTTTCCCCATCCAGAACCATTCTCCTCAGAGTTCCCTCCCTACCTTGTTCAATGGCAATACCATTTACCCAAGCTAGAAATCTAGGAGTCTGACTAGATAAGTAGGTGGGGGCCAGGGCATGTGGGGCAGTACTTTGCTTCTGGTGTTTAGCCAGGCCCCTTTCACTGTGTGCCTTCACCTACTAATGTAGCATCCCCAAGCATCTTGACAACAATAACCTTTTACATGTCTAAACGTCTATCAGGGGGTAGGGGTAGTAGTGATCCCAACCAGGATGAAAAGTACTGAGGTAAGTAGGGCCTTGTACACTGTGGTATAGAGTTTTCCTTCCACTTTATAATGGAGTCCTTGGAGAATTTTAAGCTGGGAAGTGACATAATCTTACATTAAAAAAATATATATATTCTTTCTGATTTATGGAGAATGGATTGAAGAGCAAAGGTGCTGGTGGCCTGGACTAGGATGGCAATGGAGAGAAATGCTGAGAAGTGTGGTGGCAGAACCAAAGTGTCTTGTTGAAGAGTTGGCTGTGAAGAGTAAAGGAAAGCAGACTCAAGGATGACTCCTGGGTTTCTGGTTTAAACAAATGGTGGATGATGGTACCATTTTCTGAGAAGGGAAGGTCATCTATCTATCTTTTTTTTTAAAGATTTTATTTATTTATTTGAGAGAGAGAGAACACAAGCAGGGGGAGGAGCAGAGGGAGAGGGAGAAGCAGACTCCCTGCCAAGCAAGGAGCCTGAAGCGGGGCTCGATCCCAGGACCCCGGGACCATGACCCGATCCGAAAGCAGATGCCTAAACAACTGAGCCACCCAGGTGCCCCAGGTCATCTATCTATCTATCTATCTATCTATCTATCTATCTATCTATCTATCTAAAGTAAACTCTACCCCCAAAATGGGGCTAGAACTCATTGACCCTGAGATCAAGAGTCGTATGCTCTACCAAGTGATCCAGCCAGGTGCCCTGAGAGAAGTTTTCAACAGCAGCAGAGGTGATGCTTAAGGGCTGAGATATCTTTAATAAATCCAAGTAAGTGAAAAATAGGCTGCTGGATGCATGAGAAAGGTTCAAAGGGAAAGCCATGGTCTAAAGATCTGTGTCTCAATGCAGCATAGGGTATAAGACATGGGCTAAAGAGCCAGCCTGTCCAGGGCTGAACCCCAACTCTGCTACTTACTAATCGTGGCTTTGGTCTTGTTGTTTAATCCGTGTCTCAGTTTCTTCATCTGTAAAATGGAGATAGCAATGCATACCTCATAAAGTTGGTGTGAGAATTAAATGAGTTAACCTACGTAACACTGAAATAGTGCCTGGCAGATAGTGTCAATGACTATCATCTTCAGTGTTACCAGCCATCTAGAGGGTGCTGAAAACCATGGCCATAGACAGAAATTCTTTAGGGAGAAAAGAAGGCTAGTACTGAGTTCTGAGGAACATTAACATGTATGGTTCAGATAGAGAAGCACCAGCAAACTCTCCTGAGAAGGAAAAAGAACCAGTGGGGGTAGGAGGAAAACCATGCCAGAGGAGAATTCCAAGAAGGCAGGTATGGTCTGGTGTGTCATACGTTGCCATGAGATAAAAACAGACATGCCTGTTGGATCTGGCCACAGGGAGGTCACTGCTGACTTTGACAAGAACAAACTCCGTCACAAATTGAAGAGAAAACTGGTTAGTAGGTAGAATCAGCTTGTACAGATAATGCTTGAGAACTCTGGGAATAAAGCAGAGTGGAGAAATGGGGAAATAGATGGAGGTGAATGTGAGCTCAAGGGAGGGAGGTTTCACCATAAATCTGGTTTTAAAGGCAGGTGATAAGAGAACTTTCATAAAGGGTATGCCAGGTGAAGAACACAACACTTTGTCATCAGCTAGGGTTCAACTCACATCACAGCACAGTTACCTTCCCCATGGACTGGGAGTACTCACATCACAGCACAGTTACCTTTTCCATGGACTGGGATTACTCCAAGGGCAGAGACTATCATATCTGTTCCTGAGCACCTGGCACTAAGCTTAATAAGGCAGGCAGAGGGATGTCTGTGGTATAAATGGACAAAAATCACCTTTCCTACATGATGTGTATTCTTCTCAATTTTTCCTTTTCTGGTAATTCCTATTAAGACTTTCCCAAAGGAGACATTGCCTCTGAAGAACATGGGCCTACTAAAATGAACTCCCGAAAAGATCTTCTCTTACTTAAGGGCCCAGAAGTGGAAATTACAGAGACTGATGAGCATCAAAAGAGGCCTGACCTGCAAACTGGACCATTAGGCCCAGTAAAGCTGAGGAGAGGCCTGATGTCCTCCCATCCCTGTGAGCAGAAGCTGAGCTATATCACAATTCTCCAGGCTGGTCTCTCCTACACACAATTAATTCTACACGTCTGTACTTGATTCTTAGGATTCTGGAAAAATTTCCTACCACAGATCGGGTCAAGCTCTTCACTTTGGGAAAATAAATCCTTTGCTCTCTGTACTAACTCCTCTCCCATAGTCCCCCTCTCATGTTGCACTAAGCCATGTCCCTTCTGTCCATCCCTGACTCTGTAATGATGTTGCTCCATTCTTGCCAGTTGAAGGTATAGAGATCAAATGCCACCTTTCTCACAATGACGCCTCTGCTGACTTTTTAACCTAAAATGGTCTCTGAACACCCAGTTTGTTTGTGTGTGTGTGTGTGGAACATACAACGTCACACTTGATTATGCTGCCTTATAAGGAATTCAGAAAATAGAAATCAACATTCTTACTCTAAAAGTAGACTATTAGCTACCTGAAGCAATGATTCTGTCTTGTTCTATTTCGAGGCCTGACAGCTGGATATTTAATATGTCCTTAACAAAGTCACCTACAATAATATACCATTCTCTATGAAACCACTTGGTCAGCCTTTGCTTACGGCCTGAGTTTCTGAGTATGGCCCCTGGTCTAACAGTGCTCTGTTTATGCCAGCTCCCTTGCATGCATTCCCAGGAGCCCCTGCCCTCTGAGGCACACTGTGTTCAGCAGTGCCATGAGACCAGAGGCCCTAAAGTTTGCTAACAGTCTTAAGGAATAAATTTATCCACACCTCTGTGGTATCCTTAAAAAGATTTAACAATTAGGGGAACCTGGGTGGCTCAGGTAAGCCTTGACTCTTGATTTTGGCTCAGGTCATGACCTCAGGGTCATGAAATCGAGCCCCAAGTCGGGCTCCACACTAAGCACAGAGTCTGCTTAAGATTCTCTCCCTCTCCCTCTGCCCCTGGTCACACCAACATGCTCTCTCTCTTAAAAAAAAAAAAATTAACAATTAGAAAAAAGAGCCAATTTTTAAAGTTAGAATTTCAAAAGAGTTCTATTTTCTGTAAGTCTAAGATTAGTTCAAAACAAAAAGTCAAAACATGTTTTTCAACATAGGTTCCATAATAGAAAATTAACCAAGGCTTATTTTTAAGGAACATAAAAACACTGGCAGTGGTGGCTTATTTGACACTCCCAAAGGCGATCACTTTTAACAGGCCCACCAGGAAGTATTTTAGATCTTCTAATTCACCTACACTCTGTCCGCAGATAACTAAAAAAGAGTAATTCCACAGCCCCTCCGCTGTGATGGGTTTATAGCCTGTGTACTAAACTACAAGGGTTCCACTAGATCCATTCATTTGTGATGCATGTCCCATTAGTCCTTCCCTAGAACTTTATTCTTCTTAAAAGGAGATTACAAAGAAGCATCCAAGGCATCTACCTCCAAAGCAGTTATTGATCATTTCATCTCCTTCCAGGTACCAGGACAGAACTCCTGCCTGTTCCATAGTTTTCACCTGCTGCTTCTATTCCTCCTCCCCAACCTCAACTCAACATTGCGGTAAACAAGCCAGGGGTTGCCAGGAAAGTTCTGTGTTGCACTGGGCCCTGGGGGAGCGGGCTGCCCTACAGATAAGTCTTCACTTACTGAACAAGTAACCTGGAGCTGCTGCTGCTGCTGTTGCGGTGGCGGCGGCGGCGTCTGTTCCTGGGGGGTTTGTGGTTGTGGCTGCTGCTGGGGGTCCCATATATGGACAGTCTGAGCTGTGTTCTGGTAGGTGCCTGCCACAGCCTGCACAGCCACTGGAATGTGGATGTTGCCATTCATGAACTGTGCTGGAAAGAGAGAGTTTGCAAGGGTCTGCACTACCTCTTCATGGGAGTTTTTCACTACAGATGTGGTGCCCACCATCTTCTCCTTGTCATCCTCCAGCTTTACAGCTGCCAGGGCCGTGGGTGAGCCACTGACGTGAACTGCATTGTAGGCTTCCTGGGGAATGGCAATGTGGGTAATGCTCTGCTGCTGAGGATCCCCACGGGGCTGGGCAGAGTAAACAGGGATGGTCCAGGTTTCTCCTGTAGGGCTAGTAATGGTCCCAGTGGCACTGTACAGGTGGGCACTGTCTACTGTCAGTAAGTCTGGCCTCAAAGACACATAACTCTGCTGCTGGCCCTGTGGAATGGCCAGCACGGTAGCCACCGGCTGCCCTGAGATGGCATAGGACACAGTGATGGGCATGTCCACTTTGCGCTTCTTCACTGGCTGGAGGACACTGGCTGTGCCAACCCGCCGTTCCCCTTCCCGGGGTGAGCCCTGCTGAGACGGTGGTGGGGAAAGGGCACCCACGGTCTGGATTTGGATCTGCTGACCCCCAGCAAGAGACTGGCCAGCCACCAGCTGAGCCTGGATCTGCTGATGTGGGATGTGCTCCTCTGGAATCTCTGCAGCCTGGATCTGCTGGGCTGCCTGCACGTGCTGCACCTGGATCTGGGCCGCCTGCAGCTGCGAAGGGCTGGGACTCTGCAGAGATGGGGTCTGGATGGAAGGGGCCGCCGGCTGTGGTGCTTGGCCTTGGATCTGCACCTGGACCTGGATGGGCTGTTCAGCAGGCTGGTGAACAGTGAGCTGCGGGGAGAGCTGCTGAGCCGAGACCTGCTGCGGAGACTGCTGTACCTGCACCTGTACCTGCAGTGACAAGATTCAGCAGTGAGTGAACCAGGCAACATTAAGAATCCAGCGCCAAAAGGAAGAGATCTCAGACAGGGGGGACCCTAGGTAATGTGAGCAGAAGGAGCTGCCATACGCAAGGCTTCTGAGGCCACAATCCCCAAAACCAAATGCAAAATTTTCCAGCATCACACAGCATTTAGAACAACAATTACCTACCAGAGGAAGCAAGACCATCAAATAGGATCTATGAAGAAAATACCAGAACTTCTGCTTATTTTTAATTCTTGTTTTAAAGTGTGAACCCCTTTGTTTTTACATATTGGTACAGTAGTACAAGTATGCACTTTATAAAAATATATTTTGGTGTATGTTTAAAAAATAGTTTATCCATGGGTTAAGTGATAAAAAGTGTGGGGACCAATGTTCTAAAAGATCAGTGAGATAAGTACATTTCACAGGCATGCAATTCTCAACCCAGGATCAAAACTACTTCCACCATAGACTAGTGAAAAACACAGTAGAAACGAAACTCTTGAAATCCCTTTTGGAGGGATCTCCCAACATTGCTACTAAAATGCAGGCATCAAAGAGTGCTTAATTAAGATAACTTTGTTTTAATAAAGAAGCCATTAAAAAAAAAACCCCACAAGATTCCTGATAATCTAAGGAAGGTTACTATATCCTGAATCACACATTTCTGATGACAATGCAGCTCATTTCTTATTGCTGTTACCTCAGCATACAAAGCAGCATGAAAGAATGCCATGTATAGTCTGTAATTTGAAAAAAAGATTTCTCCTTCAGAAACACATATCTAAACTCTAAACACTGGTCTAGGAAGGTGAAAAGAAGGCAGATGAGAGATTATATATTTTTTTTTAATTTTTTAATTTTATTTTTTTTAAAGATTTTACTTATTTATTTGACAGAGACACAGCGAGAGAGGGAACAGAAGCAGCGGGAGTGGGAGTGGGAGAAACAGGCTCCCCGCTGAGCAAGGAGCCTCATGCAGGGCTTGATCCCAGGACCCTGGGATCATGACCTAAGCCGAAGGCAGACGCTTAACTGACTAAGCCACCCAGGCGCCTCGAGAAAGACATTTTATTAAGTAGAGTTGAGGGGTGCCTGGGTGGCTCAGTCGGTTAAGCGTCTGCCTTCGGCTCATGTCATGATCCCAGGGTCCTGGGATCAAGCCATGCATCAGGCTCCCTGCTCAGCAGGGAGTCCACTTCTCCCTCTCCCCCTCCTCCCCTTGTGCGCACACGCTCTCTCTCTCCCTCTCAAATAAATAAATATATTTTTTAAGATTTTATTTATTTGACAGAGACACAGCAAGAGGGAACAGAAGTAGCAGGAGTGGGAGAGGGAGAAGCAGGCTTCCCGCGGAGCAGGGAGCCCGATGCGGGGCTCGATCCCAGGACCCTGGGATCATGACCTGAGCCAAAGGCAGACGCCTAACGGCTGAGCCACCCAGGCACCCCTCTTTTTTTTTAAAGATTTTATTTATTGGGGTGCCTGGGTAGACAGATGCCTAACGGCTGAGCCACCCAGGTGCCCCCCCTTTTTTTAAAGATTTTATTTATTGGGGTGCCTGGGTAGACAGACACCTAACAGCTGAGCCACCCAGGTGCCCCCCTTTTTTTTTAAAGATTTTATTTATTGGGGTGCCTGGGTAGACAGACACCTAACGGCTGAGCCACCCAGGTGCCCCCTTTTTTTTAAAAGATTTTATTTATTGGGGTGCCTGGGTGGCTCAGCCGTTAGGCATCTGCCTTTGGCTCAGGTCATGATCCCAGGGTCCTGGGATCGAGCCCCGCATCAGGCTCCCTGCTCCGCGGGAAGCCTGCTTCTCCCTCTCCCACTCCTGCTGCTTCTGTTCCCTCTCTCGCTGTGTGTCTCTGTCAAATAAATAAAATCTTAAAAAAATATATTTTATTTATTTATTTGAGAGGGAGAGAGAGAGCGTGTACGCACGAGGGGAGGAGGGGGAGAGGTAGAAGCGGACTCCCTTCTGAGCAGAGAGCCTGATGCATGGCTTGATCCCAGGACCCTGGGATCATGACATGAGCCGAAGGCAGATGCTTAACCGACTGAGCCACCCAGGAGCCCCGAGATATATCTACCTGATAACAGGAGACACATCACATAAATAACCAAGCATGGTGCTGGGACAACTGGTTATCCATATAAAAACAATGAAGTTGGACCTCTTCTTCATATCATACACACACAAAAAAGAGGATCTGAATAGACATTTCTCCAAAGATACTCAAAAGGCCAATAAGTACATGAAAAGTTGCCCAACATCATGAGCTATCACAGAAATGCAAATCAGAACCACATTAAGATGCCACTTGAAAGCCAATAAGATGGCTATAATAAAAAGATAGTAAGTGCTGACAGGGATGTGAAGAAATTGGAATCTTCATATACTGCTGGTGGGAGTACAGCCACTTTGGAAAAAGTCTAGCAGTTCATCACAAGGTTAAACATACCATATGACAGGGGTGCCTGAGTGGCTCAGTCAGTTCCAAGTGTCTGCCTTTGGCTCAGGTCATGATCTCAAGGTCCTGCGACTGAGTCCTGCATCAGGCTCCCTGCACAGCGGGGAGTCTGCTTCTATCACTCTGCCCTCCCCCTCCCTTGTACTCTCTTTCTCTCTGTCTCAAATAAATAAAATCTTTAAAAAAACAAAAAAACATACCATATGATAAAGATATGAAAAACAACCACATGACCCAGCAATTCCACTCTTACATATATGCCAAGAGGAATGAAAACTATGTCCACAAAAAACGTGGAGGCAAATGTTTATAGTAGCATTATTCATAATAGCTAAAAAGTAGAACCCAAATGTTCATCAATTGATAAATGATAAATAAAATGTGGTATTTCCATAGAACAGTATTATTTAGCAATAAGAAGGAAAGACATTTTGATACATGCTACAACCCAGATGAACCCTGAAAATGTTATACTAAGGGAAGTCAGTCACAAAGACTAAATATTGTATGATTCCATTTATGTGAATGTCCAAAAGAGAAATAGAAAGTACACTTGTGGTTGTCTAAGAGCATAGGATTAGGGAAAATACAAAGTGCCAATGGGTAGAGGGTTTTTTTCTTGGAGTACCGACAATGTTCTAAAATTGATGTAATGGGGGCGCCTGGGTGGCTCAGTTGGTTAAGCGACTGCCTTCAGCTCAGGTCATGATCTGAGTCCTGGGATCGAGTCCCGCATCGGGCTCCCTGCTCGGCGAGGAGCCTGCTTCTCCCTCTGACCCTCCCCCCTCTTATGTACTCTCTCTCTTTCTCATTCTCGCTCTCTCAAATAAATAAATCTTTAAAAAAAATAAATAAAATAAAATTGATGTAATGGTTGCACAACTTTGTGAGTAGATTAAAAAACCGCTTAACTGCTGGGGTACCTGGGTGGCTCAGTCAGTTGGGCTTTTGACTCTTGGTTTCAGCTGGGTCATGATTTTGGGATCATGGGATCAAGCCCCCTGTCAGGCTCTACCCTCAGTGGGGAGTCCGCTTGGGATTCTCTCCCTGTGCCCCATCCCCTGCTAATGTGTGCATTGTCTTTCTAAAATAAATAAATCAACTCCTCCCCCGCCAAAAAAAACCCAGGGACACGTGGGTGGTACAGTTGGTGAAACGTCTAACTCTTGGTTTCAGCTCAGGTCGTGATCTCAGAGTCATGAGATTGAGCCCGGGGTTGGCTCTGCACTCAGCATGGAGTCTACTTGTGATTCTCTCTCCCTCTTCCTCTGCCCCTCCTGCTTGTGCTGTCTCTAAAATAAATCTTAAAAAAAAAAACAACCCGCTGAATTGTATACTTTAAATGGGTGAATTATATGAGAATTAGATCTCAATAAAACCATCACTAATTAAAAAGAGAAGCAAGGAGGTTATGTAAAGAGAATAGGCCTTGAAGTTAGACTTGAACTTGAATTGGAGCTGTACTTTTCTAGCTGTGCGTCCCCAAGTTTCAGTTTCCTCAGGTATAATAAAAAGGGGGAGGGACGCCTGGGTGGCTCAGTCAGTTAAGCGTCTGCTTTCGGCTCAGGTCATGATCCCAGGGTACTGGGATTGAGACCCTCGTCGGGCTTCCTGCTCAGCCGGGAGCCCTACTTCTCCCTTTGCCTGCTGTTCCCCCTGCTTGTGCTTGCTCTCTGTCAAATAAATAAATAAAAATCTTTAAAAAAATAAATAAATAAAAAGGGGGAGAACACCTAACTCCCTACAGAGCTGTTATGAGCGTAAGATAGTAGGTGCTCAAAAAGTAGGTTTCCTTCGTTATAAACAATATTTCTTTACACCAGTGAATCTCAAAATATAGTTTCCAGGCCAACAGCATCACCACCGAGGCACTTGTTAAAAATACTAATTCTCAGGTCCCACCTCAGAACTACTGAATCAGAAACTCTGGGGGAACGGGCCCAACAATCTAGCTTAAGTCTCCCAGGTGACTAATGCATGCTCAAGTTTAGAACCAGTGCTTTACATCAAGGACGTAAAGGAAACTATGAGACCAGTTACTACAGAACAGTAGTTTTCAAGCTTTTTGTCTCGGGGGACCCTCTCAAAAAATTACTGAGGATCCCCAATAGCTTTTGTTTACACGGATATGGATATTGTTATTTACTGTATTAGAAATTAAAACTAGGATATCACACAAACCAATCATGTTAACATAACACCGGAAAGGCATACATACCTAGTTTTATTGTGCTCACCACATCATATGTTTTTTGGTTTTTTTTTTTTATTTTAAAGATTTTATTTATTTATTCAACAGAGAGACAGCAAGAGCAGGAACACAAGCAGGGGGAGTGGGAGAGGGAGAAGCCGGCCCCCCGCTGAGCAGGGAGCCCGATGTGGGGCTCGATCCCAGGACCCCGGGATCATGACCTGAGCCGAAGGCAGATGCTTAATGACTGAGCCACCCAGGCGCCCATTTTGGTTTTTTTTAAATGAAGATTTGTGGCAACCCAGCACTGATCAAGTCTA